CCCCTGCCTGCTCCTTCTCCCTACACTGGTCCTATTGGAGGTCTTGCTGAGCGTCGTGAGCCTGCGTCTCGTCCTGCGTTGCCTGTTCATGCTGCTCACACTAGAGGTCGTGCTCCGCGTCCGCGTCCTCCTGCGGTCCCAGGCACAAACCAGATGGCACTGCGTCCTTCCACTGCTCCTCTGCGTATCCCGTTGCCGTCTCCTCCAGAGTCCTCTCTTCCTACTCTTACTGACCCGGAGTCTGACTCTCTTTGTGCTGCCAGTCCTACTGTCACGCGTCTCCTGGCTACTGTTGTCACTGACCCTTCTTTTGAGTCCACTACTACGTCTGCCTTAGTTGTTGAGCTTGTCGACTTTGCTGCTCGCTATCGTCTAGACTACGCTGCTATTCTTGTTGCTGAGTCTGAGTATGTCTGTCCTCCGTCCGTCGGGGGTGAGTGTGCTCTTAGCACGGACGTCCTTGAGGACAAGCAGGAGGAGTTCCAGTGTTTTGCTGCTCCTTTGCCTCATCTCGTGTCCACGCTGATTGCCCCTGAGTGAGACCCGGATGCACCAGACATCCCGACTCCTCGATCGTACGCTGAGGCGATCGAGGGTCCCTACTCCTCACAGTGGCATTCAGCCATGGACGCAGAGATGGCTTCCTGGAAGTCCACAGGCACCTACGTCGACGAGGTACCCCCATCTGGGGCGAACATCGTCAGTGGCATGTGGATTTTCAGGGTGAAGCGGCCGCCGGGTTCTCCGCCTGTCTTTAAGGCGCGTTACGTGGCTCGAGGCTTCAGTCAGCGGCAGGGAGCTGACTACTTTCAGACCTTCTCCCCCACCCCAAAGATGACCACTCTTCGGGTGCTGTTACACATAGCCGCTCAGCGTGACTACGAGCTTCACTCTCTTGACTTCAGCACAGCTTTCTTGCAGGGCAGCCTTCACGAGAAGATCTGGTTGCGTCGCCCACCTGGATTCACTGGGTCGTTTCCTCCTGGTACCCAGTGGAGCCTCCGGCGGCCCGTCTACGGTCTCCGCCAGGCGCCCCGTGAGTGGCACGACACACTGAGGACTACACTTGCGGCTCTTGGCTTTGCTCTGTCTACTCCCGACCCGTCGTTGTTTCTGCGCACCGACACCTCCTTGCCGCCTTTCTACATCCTCGTGTACGTCGACGACTTGGTCTTTGCCACAACTGACACTACAGGACTCGCCCACGTGAAGTCCGAGCTGCAGAAGAGACACACGTGCACAGACCTGGGTGAACTGCGCAGCTACCTTGGCTTGCTGATCACCCGGGACAGAGCACAGCGCACCATTACCCTGACTCAGTCACACATGGTGCAGCAGGTCCTTCAGTGCTTCGACTTCACGTACTCCTCGCCTCAGGCCACTCCTCTGTCTACTCGCCACTCGCTCTCAGCTCTGCCTTCGGATGAGTCTGTTGAGCCGAGTGGCCTGTACCCAGAGCTTGTTGGCTGCCTCATGTACCTGATGACCTGCACACGACCTGACCTAGCATACCCTCTTAGCATCTTGGCACGCTATGTTGCTCCTGGGAGACACAGACCAGAGCACATGGCTGCAGCGAAGAGGGTGTTGCGCTACTTGTGCAGTACGTCGGGCATGGGGCTAGTGCTTGGAGGGCGACGTCCAGTGGTCCTCACAGGTCACGCAGACGCTTCTTGGGCTGACGACCAGGCTACGCAGCGGTCGTCACAGGGTTACACCTTAAGCCTTGGCTCGGGCTCTGTTTCGTGGCGGTCTACCCGCTTGTTTTCTGTTCTCGGCTCCAGCTGTGAGGCTGAGATCTACGCGGGGGCCATGGCGGCACGAGAGCTACGTTGGCTCACCTACCTGCTGACTGACCTAGGAGAGCGCCTCGTTCTCCTCCAGTTCAACAAGTAGACAACAAGGCCATGATGTCCTTGTGTCGGGAGCACAGACTGGAGCACAGAACGAAGCACATTGCTCTTCGCTACTTCCTTGCTCGTGAGCTGCAGCAGCGTGGTCAGCTGCGCCTTGCTTACGCGGCCTCTGAGGCCAACACTACTGATATCTTTACCAAGGCACTTCCGTCTTGTGATCATCAGCGCTTTTGTACGATGCTAGGTCTTGTGCCTACTTGGCCTCACTTGCTCACTTCTTGACTTTGCTTGTACTATGAATTATATATACCTGCACTTGCATGCTTACCCTTGCTAGGTTGAGATCATTGTCTTGTTTGTTCATCTTGATATATAACTCTGCATGTGAACTGGCCTTGTGGCCTTGTGATTGTGCTCAGATTGTGTTGTGATGTTGTGATCCACCCTGAGCTTGCCTTGCTTCTCTTGACTGGTCTTGTGACCTCTTGTTCTCCCCCACTTTGCCTATGGGGGTGTGTCAAACTTATATGCTATAGTCTGTGTAGGCTGTAGTAGGGTAGCTCATATGGGGTACAACACTTTAGGGTTTCCTACTTGTACTCCTCATGCTGCTCAATGCAATCATTCCTCATTTTCTCACACCTTGTTCTTCCCCACTTTGCCTATGGGGGTGTGTCAAACATATATATGGCTTAGGTTATTGTCTAGGCTGTAGTGGGGTTGACAATAAGGGGTACACCAGTTTAGGGTTGCCTTTTTGTACCAAACTCATCCTCTAGTCATTCATTCCTGCCTAGCGCTCTGACACAGAGTGCGACGGCTTTCTCAAAAGATGTCTGCTCTATCGAGAATTATGCTAACACGTTTGTTTCTACTGAACTTTCTCGTTCTTCCGTCGTGCAGGGAGCTCGGAATTATCTGGACTGCCGACGGCGTTGACCACAAACTTCGCCTTGCGGCGCGTGGCGGAAAGCGGCAGGAGCGCTGCGACGGGTTTATGAAGGCCATTGAGATCGACGGCAAGATGATCCCCCGCATGTAGCTCGGCGACGTGGTTACCAGCACTTGTAGACTCGCGATCGAATTTCACGCGCACGAAATGTAGGGGCCGATCGCCATGGATTACTACCTTCTAACCATCGACGGTCTCGTGGCGCTCGATTTGAGGCTCCGCGTCGCACACCCCAAGCTGCAGACGCCGTCAGACGCGGAGGTGCATCTGAATGTCGGGATCGTGGAGTTGGAGCACACGGACGATATTCACGGCGTGCTCGGGCAGACCTACCGCGAGGACCATGCCCAACGTGCGGTGGATTTCCAACGGCTTATTGTGACGCTTAACCACCCAATTATCGCGGATGGTGCTGAGGGAGAGGGGTTCCTGGATAGTACTCCGAGGTCGTACGAGGCGAGCCGTGTGCTCGCGGTTGACTGCGCATACACTGCTTTTGACCGTGCACAGTACGTCATGCCCGTGTCTCGGTTTCCGTAATGCGGCGACGTGCTGTTGGGTGTATTGTATGGTGGGCTGCGTTTGTTGAGGGAATGTCTGGTGTGATACGCTGAAATGTATGGTATGGTGCTGATTGTGTGGTGCTGTGGCTGCTCTGGTGTGGTGTGCTTGTCCGTCTTGGGCGAATGCCCTGGTGTGCTCTCTCTGGTGGGCTGATTGATATGTTGTAGTCTCTCATGTTGGCCTGAATGTTATCACCGGCATTCGTTTGGTTATCCCGCTGTGTGTATAGTGTGGTGGGCTTCTTTCTTTCTTGCTAGCTTTTAGTCCACTGGTTGCTGTTTATTTTCCCTTTTTCCGGTGGGCTGATACTATTTGTTCATTATTTTGTTATTTGGTGGGCTGTAATAATTCTTTTGATATATGACCTTTCATAATGAACTGTGTGGAAAATGCTACCATCGAATCAAGTCACAACACTTTTGCAATGGTGTCAGCCTTCGCAGCGAAACCCAACCATTGGGCTTGCGATGTTCGTGAATGAGTGAGTGCACGATCGCCAACCTTGAATGCACGCTCACACCTCCAAAAACGCAATTGGAAAGCAGATTTAATCTACAGTACCACCTTCAACCCAAGCCAACCTTGAAGCTGTCAAGAAGCGAACAATGCTGACCATCTGCACAGACTTCGTCAGTTTCGCGCGCAGACATGTTGATTTCGTCAACCGGTAACAGGTGTCGCCCGCAGCCTATGCTGCACATGCGTGCGTCACCACAGCATATGCAACTTAGCGAACCCAGGCAGCTGACCACAGCCTCTGCAGCAAACACAGCACATGATGATATTGTTGTGACCCCAAGTACCATCAGCGCTGCTAATTGTCACAACAACATATGCTGATTGTTAAAACCCCACGCTGATGTTGTTACCATCAGCGCTGACAGTTCGGCACATCTTATTCCACAGCAATATCACGTGCTGACTTTTTCGCGTTCGGCACCTTCTCAACGCGACGTCGTTGCGATGCGCGAATGCTCAAGAACAGATGCTTCTGAGCGCAAAAATCCGTTGTGTGCCAACGTTTTTACGCCTCCCGTACGGATTTCGAATTACGTAGTCACCTCGCTATTGACTCAAGGAACGCCTGTAACACTGTCACTGTCACTACACTGTCATTCTACTCGCGGTTAGCACTGCTGCCGCTCTGGAACGATCGAACTACGAAAAGCCGGTACGTTACCTGTAATGCCCAAGGCAATGCGTTACTTTACCCGTTCGTTTCTTCCACATCGACCTAAAATCACCTTGTGCTTTTCCCTCCCTGCGCCGTTCCCCACCGTTCCTCACCGCTCCCCATCGCTGACTGGCCTTGCATGTCGTCCTTATTCCAGTGCCAGGTCCGCCTATCCTCTCCTTGCCTTTCCTTCTCTGTGCAGGCACCAGTTGCAATGGATTCATTCAAAGGCGGCTCCAAAGGCGCCACAGCAGCGGCGGAGAGGAGAGGAGGGGATCGCTGAGGCTCACTCCCCCTCCGCCATCCCCCTTCCCCTCCTCTGCTTCTCCGTCCCCTTTCCCCCATCACCCTCCTTCCCCCCGCTTTCCCCCCACTTTCCTCACGTCCCCCCATCCTCTCCCCACCCCCCTTCCCCCCCCTCCTCCCCTTTCCTCCACCCTCTCCGTCAGGCGCAATGGATTCATTTAGAGGCGGGTCCAAAGGCGCAACAGCAGCAGTTGCAGCGGCGGCGGAGAGGAGAGGGTCGCTGAGGCAATGCAAGGCTCGCTCATTCTTCCCTCCTCCCTGTTCCCTCTCCCTCCCCCCTGTTCCCCTTCCCTCCTCCCTGTTCCCCTTCCCTCCTCTGCTTCTCCGTCCCCTTTCCCCCATCACCCTCCTTCCCCCCACTTTCCCCCCACTTTCCCCCCACTTTCCTCACGTCCCCCCCTCCTCTCCCCCCCCCCCCGTCCCCTTTCCTCCACCCTCTCCGCCAGGCGCAATGGATTCATTCAAAGGCGGGTCCAAAGGCGCGACGGCAGTGGCAGCAGCAGCGGAGAGGAGAGGGTCGCTGAGGCAACGCAAGGTGGCGGCTGATGTGGTGGCTGTGATGCTGGATGAAGGCACGCGGAAGCGAGTGAGTGAGTGAGGGAGTGAGTGAGGGAGGGAGTGAGGGAGGGAGTAAGGGTTTTCGTTTTTTATGACACCCAGGGACGGGGAAAGAATGAGTGGTTTTTAGGTCTGCGGCATGGGAAAATGAGTGAGAATGGAATAAGTGGAATGGAGGGGAGGCGGAGAGGAGAGGGTCGCTGAGGCAACGCAAAGTGGCAGCAGATGTGGTGGCTGTGATGCTGGATGAGGGCACGCGGAAACGAGTGAGTGAGTGATGTGTGTGTGATTGTACGGGACAGGAAATGAGTAAATGGCTGTTATTCAAACTGGCAACGCAAGGTGGCGGCAGATGTGGTGGCTCCGATGCTGGATGAAGGTGCAAGGAAACGAGTGAGTGGTTGATGTGCTAAGTGATTGAGAAGGTCAAGGAGCGAGGGAGTGATTCGTGGGACTGTGTTGCGGAAACGAGTGACTGAGCGCGTGCTGTTTAAAGTGAAACCAAGGGAGGCGAATCATGAAATTGCTCCGAAATTGCTCATAAGACTTGTCAAAAATGGCACAGGGAGTGAGGGGCGAGACTGGAACAAATGGAGTAGAGGGGAAGCGGAGAGACGAGACTCGCTTTCTCTGACATTTCTCTCTCTCGCTCACTTCGCTCTCAAACAGGCATCTCATTTGCCTTCCTTGTTGCGTTTCTCCGAGGCAGCAGCACGATTAGATTCTCCTGAGAGTGAATACATCCTCTTTTTTTTTTCATGCATCCCTCCCTGTTGTGTTTCTCTCTGTCTCCAGTGTACCCACCCACCCACCCAGGCAGCAGCAGCTCAATTAGAGGCTCTGGAGTGATTATACCGGGGTGGATGCTGCTGTGGTGGATGAGGATGATGAGATGATACTGGTACAACGTGTACCTTTCCTTTCTCTCACCTGTTCCCCGCCCTCTCGCATGCACCCAGGCAGCAGCGGCGCGACTGGAGGCTCTAGAGAGTGACTATACCGGGGTGGATGCTGCTGTGGATGAGGATGATGACGTGTTCAATGCAGAGGAGGAACTGGTGCAAGAAGGTATGCTTATAGCGAGTAATGGACAATAAGGGCATGCTTATAGCGAGGAAAAAGGAGGTGTGCTGAATGGTCGATTCAGTCGGTGCATGGAAAGAAGGGGGTGTGGGACGTGTCTCATAACGAGGAAGCACAGCTTAGGGTACAAGTGGCAACTCACCCCCACCATGCTTCTCCCTCGCTTCCATGCCAGGAGGTGTTACGGGTCGCTACAATGCACAAAGGCACGCATAGTTTGTGGGGCACGAATGCTTGCTAGGGGTACGAATGCTTGCTAGGGGTACGAATGCTTGCTAGGGGCACGAATCACGATATGTTGCGGGAAGCCAACCTGACAACCCTCTGTCTGATGTGCTTGCCAGATATTACCGATTAAATAGTTAGTATGATGGAAGGTATCAGCAACAACCAGAGCTCCGGTTAAGGTGAGGCAAATCGATTTGACTTTTGTGTTTCGTGTTATTCATATTATTTAGACGCCCGCTCTAGTTTAACGACATTCTGTCGCTCTTCTTCCTTATTGTGCTCCTCATTTGTGTGTTTCCTTCCGTCCCCGTTTGATGCGTTCGCCCTTGCTATCTTCCCCTTTCGTTCCCGTCTTCCTTTAACTGCCCACCACGTTTGACTCTGGCCATCCGAGGCAAGAGGTGCACAAGGCAGGCTCTCTGGTAGTCAACTTTTGAGTCGACCCTTCAGTCAACTCTTGAGTCAACTCTTGAGTCAACTCTTGAGACAAATCTTGAGTCAACTCTTGAGTGCCCACCAGGCTTCGCACCAGCCAAGCGAGTGAGCCGTCCGGGCAAGAGGTGAATGAGGCAGTCATTCCCTTCCCTCCCATGCCTGTGCGGTCCATTCCTCGTACGCGCTCCTTGGAGTGCCCACCAGGCTTCGCACCAGCCAAGCGAGTGAGCCGTCCGGGCAAGAGGCGCACGAGACAGGCTGCTGCTGCCGTGGTGAGCAGAGCGAGCAAGCGAACTCCCAAGACGTTTGCAGAGCTGCTAGAAGAGGTAGGGCATGGGGTGGGTAGGATAGAGGGAGGGAGGGGAGGGGGAAGGAAGGGGTAACACATGGTTGGATAAGAAGTGGATGAGAGTTTGGTTGGTAAATTTTTTTTTTCCCCCGAGTACTTTTTTTTTTTTTAAATTATTATTCAAGGTTTTTCTGAGAATTCCCAAAATTACGCATCGGTCGGGTGGGAAGTGGATGACAATTCGGCTGGTAGGTGACATTGACGGATGAAATAAGATGGGTTCTGAGACGTCTCAAAGCCAATCTTATTTCACGGGTAGGAAGTGGATGAGAGTAGGGTTTATACGTGGCAATGTCAGAGCGAGCAAGCGAACGTTCAAGACGTTTTCTTGCAGAGCTGCTAGAGGAGGCAAGTCGTGGGGTTGGTAAGGGCGGGTAAAGAAGTATGGTGGGTAAGACCTGGGGCGGGTAAGACCTGGGGCAGGTGAGGCTGCTTGTGCTCACCCCTTCCATACCCCAAGCGCCATCCATAGTCGAGTCTAGAAGCCCTGTACTTACCCCTCGGACACACACCTCTTTCTTCCCACACCCCACCACCCTCTCTCCCCATCGGCGAGTCTAGAAGCCCTGCCACCAGGCACGCCCTCCTTACCTCACAGCAGCAGTGGAGCCCGGCTGCTGCCTCTGTGTATTGTTTGTGTGCTCACCCCTGCCATGCTTCTCCCTCGCTTCCATGCCCCCTCCTCACTCCCCACAGGCGAATCTAGAGACCCTGCCACCAGGCACGCCCTCCTACCTCACAGCAGCAGTGGGCCCTCCAACAGCCGCCTCAGTGCGCCGCTTCTGCTCTGCGTGTGGCAGCCACGCGCCCTACACATGCCCCCGCTGTGCCGCCCGCTTCTGCTGCATCAGCTGCCAAAGACTGCACAACGAAACCCGCTGCCTCAAGTTTGTCATGTAGTGATTTATGATCAGCTAGAATATTGATAAGCGTGTTGTGCTGTTTGGGGAATCTGTGTGAATCACTGCTGCTTTGCTGTGTCTAATTTCTTATTTGGAGGTGTCTCAAAACAGTTGTGTTGATTCGCTGTGTACAGAACAGTTAATGATTTGATTTGATCTGATTTTAACAGCTGTCTCTACTTGAAAGAGCTTCCACGTGAAGGAACTGCTGCTGCGGCCATGCTTGTTGTCACTCCAGCACCTGAAGATGGCAAAGCTAGTCCAGCAACCGAGCTTCAGTGATTCAGTGATTTCAATAAAGGGCCTACAGCAAACGGGCTCAATATATTTTGTTCATTTTATTTTATATATATTTACACATGCTAGCATCCCAAATACATGTTAACATCCATTTTCTGTGCGTAAATTGACAACAAATGGTTATGGAGAGAAAAAGCAATGATTATATATCCTGAAAACATTACAGTTGAAATGTGCATGAATCGCAAACGCGGACCACAATGTGTGGTGAGTGCGAAGGTTTTCGCACTAGGTGTGCAATTATTGCTCGGCCGCACACCCCGCGTTACTTGTACATTATGATCGCCCCACTTACATTCGATCCTCACAACAAAAACCTTGCACCACTCCTGACCGCTGGAAAACTTCACTTACCCGCTGGTTTTCAATACCCCTCTCACAGAACCCAACCGCGCCAGGAAACCAACCAGCACTTTCACATGTTTCATAATTTCGATGTGCGTCACAAATACCAGAGCATTAGCAAACGTGGTGGCCAGTTCCCCAGCGATAGCGATAAGCGCCGCATTCGTCGGTACCATGAGGTCCAGCAATCGAACGAGGCGCTACGAGAGGCATCATGGGGCTGAAACGCCTCCTCTGATGTCGAGCCGCAATATTCCAGCAAAGTCTGCACTCGGCACTCACGCTAGCGTATTTAACGCGGAGGAAGTTGGAAACAACTCATTCACCGCTAGTAACAGCAGCTAAACAAATTCAGTACCAACCCCCTCAGCGGTTCTTTCCCATCTCAGAAGACTGCCATATCGAACTCTATCATGGGCGCGCTTCGTCATCGCTTTCTGCTCGCGCTCGTCCTCGTGGCGTCTCTAAACTTCCTCGCGGTTTTCGCGGCGCAGCCTCCGCCGGATGGGTACTACGGCGCGAGTGAGCCGGCGCTGGAAGAAGCATACGACCAGCGCGCGCTCCTGGAGGCCGAAAGCGATGCCTCGCTTGACTCCGTTGACTCCGTTGACTTGGAGGACTCGCGGGTGCTTCTCTCGATGGGGGATGCAGCGGCGGACTTGAAGCAGACGTCGGACGACCTCAGCGGCAGCGTGAAGAAAGCTGTCGGGCAGGCGGGGAGGAACGTGCGCAACTCGATCGGCTCCATGGTCGGAGTCCCGCCCAACAAGGGCACGAAGAAGCACCACCGCCGCGGCGGGAAGAAAACTGGGCGCCGCGGCGGGAAGAAAACTGGGCGCCGCGGCGGAAAGAAAACTGGGCTGGCGGGAACTCGTAAGCGCAAATCGGGCGCGGCAGCCCCCAAGACGTCCGCTGCGGGGGTTCCGAAGAAGCAGGGGGCGGGAGGTAAGCTCAACTCCGGCGCAACCCCCAAGAAGCCCGCTGCTGCCGCTGCTGGCGCGACGGGGGCTCCTAAGAAGCAGGAGGCGGGAGCTAAGGACACCTCGGGCGCAGCACCCGAGTCCCCCGCTGCTCCCGCTGCTGCAAACGAGCCGCGCGCGCTCCTCGAGGCGGCCGACAGTGATGCCGCGATTGACTCCGTTGACTCGGTTGACTTCGACTCCGTTGACTTGGAGGACTCGCGGGTGCTTCTCTCGATGGGGGATGCAGCGGCGGACTTGAAGCAGACGTCGGACGACCTCAGCAGCAGCGTGAAGAAAGCTGTCGGGCAGGCGGGGAGGAACGTGCGCAACTCGATCGGCTCCATGGTCGGAGTCCCGCCCAACAAGGGCAAGAAGAAGCACCACCGCCGCGGAGGGAAGAAAGCTGGGCGCCGCGGCGGGAAGAAAACTGGCCCCGCGGGAGCTCGTAAGCGCAACTCGGGCGCAGCAGCCCTGAAGACGGCCGCCGCTCCCGGCGCTGCTGGCGGGAAGGCGGTTTCGAAGAATCAGGCGGAAGGTAAGCTCAACTCTGGCGCGCATGCGCTGGGAGCAAAGGGCACCTCGGGCACAGCCCCCAAGCCCACCGCTGCCAGCAGTGCTGCGAGCAGTGCTGCCAGCAGTGCTGCACCCAGCATTTGATTCGAAAAGCAGCCAGCAAACGTGCAATGGAGGGTTGCAGGGCGGCAGGGTGGCTTGGTCCTTCTACACAGGGAGATGCGGCGAATGGCAACCGAATGACCCGGTCTAATGCATGGGGAAGGGGGGGCTCTAGAAGGCCCGTGGCTTGTGATGTGGCGAGCTTGTGGCAGTGGTTCCGCTTGTGTGTGTCTGTGTGCTTGTTTCTCTTTGAAAACACCTTTGTGAGGGAGGCGTGGTGGGTAGGAAATAGAAGGCAAGAGATGGGCTGCAAGGATACGTAGAAGGGGTTAGGAAAGAAAATTGACGTTTCTGCTTTGCTTGTGCTTTCTTCGCATCTCAGGGTTGATGATGTATTGCATGTGGTGGTGGGCTGTCATGTAGTGCAATTTGTGGTTCAATTCCAATGTTTCAGATTTCTTTACCAACAAGGCTACTACAGTAGAGACGAGGCAACAAAATGTCCCATACCTAAATAGCTTAGCACTGGCTTTATCGGCCAGCTCCAATTTTGTCCTGATATTTTCAAACCAGCCGGTTGTTGCTGCTGCTCCATTGTCACATTATTCGCGTGAAGTTCAGCAATTGTTGGTTGGGTGGGTATGTGTTCGTTGGAGATATGAATATTTTTAAAAGTTGTAACGCTTTTCAAAATTTTGTATTTTGAAAGCGAAGCGGCTTGTAATGTAGCAATGGTCATCGGCGAACCGCGCTAAACGCCCGTTTTGGAGTACAAAACGTGGGCTGGAGGTCATTTCCCTCCACCCACGTCTTTCATTTTCAAACGGCTTAGCCTAGTTTCCCGCCCACCCACCCCGTAGAAATGGGACCAATTATGGATAGTTGATTGCTTAAGAATAATTGCATGCTAGCTTGGACATGTCTGTACGATGCCATTTGAAATGAGACGATGCCATTGCTACAACAAGACACTGCAGGCACCCTTCATGCGCAGATACACGATTCCCGTGGCCCTGGGGGGTGGATGGTTGGCAAGCAAGTGGGGGGTGGGGAGAGCAAACCACACAGGCTTAAATGAAACCGCACACAAGGCTCGGGCAGCCACTGTAGGCACCCTTCATGCGCAGATACACGATTCCCGTGGCCCTGGGGGGTGGATGGTTGGCAAGCAAGTGGGGGGTGGGGAGAGCAAACCACACAGGCTTAAATGAAACCGCACACAAGGCTCGGGCAGCCACTGCAGGCACCCTTCATGCGCAGATACACGATTCCTGTGGCCCTGGGGGGTGGATGGTTGGCAAGCAAGTGGGGGGTGGGGAGAGCAAACCACACAGGCTTAAATGAAACCGCACACAAGGCTCGGGCAGCCACTGCAGGCACCCTTCATGCGCAGATACACGATTTCCGTGGCCCTGGTGGGTCCGTGGCAGTGAGGGGAGGGGAGAGCGTAACACACAACAGGATGTGAGGGGTTATATGAAGGGCGACGCACAGGGCAGGGGAAGCCACTGCAGGCGCCCTTTCATGCGCAGGTACACGATTCCCGTGGCCCTGCAGGAATGGGTGGCAGTGAGGAGAGGGAGGGCACAACAATCAGAGCTGGATTAAGAAGGATGCCATGGCTTGAACAGCCCCTGCAAGCACCTTTCATGCACAGATGCACGATTCCCGTGGCGTGGATGGTACGCAAGGTGACACGGGCGTGCGATCATGCTTGGTGAGGCATAAGAAAAAGGCCTGGGCAGGCACAGCAAGAGGGTGACGTGGCAAGGTGATGATGTGGCAAGAGGGTGACGTGGCAAGTGTTTGACATGGCAAGCGGGTGACGTGAAGCGCTCACTCGTCAAAGTCAACAAAGTCATTGTCCCCTCTGTCCTCCTGCAATGCCGGTCGACCTTTTAAGACATCTCAAAAGTCAACAATGTGAATCCAAGTCGGACTCACTCGTCAAAGTCAACCAAGTCAGACCCACTAGTCAAAGTCAACCAAGTCAGACTCACTCGTCAAAGTCAACAAAGTCAGACCCACTGGTCAAAGTCAACCAAGTCAGACTCACTCGTCAAAGTCAACAAAGTCAATGTCCCCTCCGTCCTCCTGCACTGCCGGTCGAATGCGCGTCTCCAGCAGCTCCCTTATCATCAGCACAGTCTCACTCTCATCCTGAGAGGGGTGGCAAAGGCGGGAGGGAAAATGCGCACATTCAAATGGGAAAAGAAAGGGCAACCAGAGGAGAGAAGCTACGAAGCATTCTCCAGCAGCTCCCTTATCATTAGCACCGTCTCACTCTCCTCCTGAAGGGGAAGCAGCGTTTGGGAGGGGTTGGCGAAGGGGGAAGAAGACACGGGGAGATTGGCTGGGAGTGGGTTGAAAGCGAGTCTCCAGCAACTCGCGTATCATCAACACCGTCTCACTCTCCTCCTGAGAGGGGTGGTCAATGGGGGCGGGGGAAACAGCAGGGGGAGGTGTGAGTTCAGCCCACGACTACTGTATCATCATCAGCACCATCTCACTCTCGATCTGAAGAAAGACAAGGGGGGAGGAGCCGAGTAAAGAAAGAACGAATTTCAGCTCTAGTAACCTCAGCACCGTTTCAGGTTGATGCACACCACCCCACCTCTACTCCTAACCATTGCCACCGCACCTCACCTCATCACACCACTTTCCCCCACTGCGCCTGTACTGATAAGCCATTCCCCCCACCCCACCTTTGCCCTTCATTCCTCTACCCCATCTCTGCCCCTCATTCCCCAACCCCTCTCCCCACTTCATCACTCACCCCACCCCACCTCTTTGGGTTGTTGCTCCCCACCCCACCTCTGTGGGTTGTTGATCCCCACCCCACCTCTGCAGCTACTGCTACCTGTGCCTGGGGGTTCAGCACCGCACCTATCCAACTCACCTCTCTACTCCTGCAATTTCCCACCCCACCTCTGTCTCACCTCACCTTCTCTACTCCTATCACTCCCCCCACCCCACCTCTGCCGGTTGTTGCTCCCCACTAGCTGCTGCTGCCTCTGCCTGGGGGTTCAGCACCGGCTGCCCAGAAGCAAAAAAGTCCATCAGGGCAGCAAAAATCTCTGGCATGAGGAGATCCCAGGAGCTCTCCTCCGTTTTAGTCCAGTCACAGAGTCATCCCCCAGGAACACCCGAGCCACACCTGCGAGATGGTGCAGGGATGGTGTGGAGGGATGGTGATGAAATGTTGGTTAAATGGAGAAGCACTAGTGGCAGTGGCAGTGGCAGTGGCAATGGCAGGTCAGGCGAAAAAGATAGTGCGGTTGGGTGCCGAAAAAGAGAAACCGCTTACCATCAATGGGAACAGTGCAATTGCAAGTGGAGATGCTAGGGCAGCTAGAGGAGGTAGGGCATGGAGTGGGTAGGATAGAGGGAGGGAGGGGAGCGGGAAGGAAGGGGATAACACATGGGTCGGATAGGAAGTGGATGAGACTTAGGTTGGTAGGGTTTTCGTGAGAATTCTCAAGGGTTTTTTTTAGTATTCTCAAAATAACACATTTGTCGGGTGGGAAGTGCATGAGAGTTTGGTTTGTACGTGATTTTGATAGATGAAATCAGATTGGTTCTGAGACGTGTCAAATCCAATCTTCTTTCACGTGTAGGAAGTGGATGAGAGTTTGGTTTATACGTGGCAATGACAGAGCGAGCAAGCGAACGTTCAAGAAGTTGTATTACAGAGCTGCTAGAGGAGGCAAGTCGTGGGGTTGGTAAGGGCGGGTAAAGAAGTATGGACGGTAAGACCTGGGGTGGTTGAGGCCGCTTGTGCTCACCCCTTCCATTCCCGAAGCGCCATCCATAGTCGAGTCTAGAAGCCCTGTACTTACCCCTCGGACACACACCTCTTTCTTCCACACCCCACCCTCTCTCCCCCACATGTGAGTTTAGAAGCCCCGCGACCAGGTACGCCCTCCTACCTCACCGCAGTGTCAAACTTATAAGCTATAGTCTGTGTAGGCTGTAGTGGGGTAGCTCATATGGGGTACAACACTTTAGGGTTTCCTACTTGTACTCCTCATGCTGCTCAATGCAATCATTCCTTGTTCTTTCACATGGTATAGAGCAGGTTCCCTAGTGGGAATGTTTCCTAGGGCCCACCACTGATTTTTTTTTTTTCCTGCCCAGAGCGCGCTTCCCTCCTGCCCGAGTCGCGCCCCGTGTGCCCTCCCTCCCGTCGCGCCCCTAGCCCTTAGCGGCCCGTCGCGCCCTCCTCAGGCCCCTCGCGGCCCCTTTCACGGCCCCTCACGGCCCCTCTTACGGCCCCGTCGTCGCTGCTCTAGGCCCCGTCGCCGCCCCTCTAGGCCCGTCGCGGCCCCTTTGCGTCCCCGTTGCAACCTCTAGCGGCCTTGTCGCCGCCCCTCTAGGCCCCTTGCGGCCCCTTCGCGGCCCCGTCGCTGCCCCTCTAGGCCCTTCGCGGCCCCTTCGCGGCCCCGTCGCCGCCTCTCTAGGCCCCGTCGCCGCTCCTCCAGGCCCCTCGCGGCCCCGTTGCCGATCCTTGCGGCCTCGTCGCCGGCCCCTCTAGGCCCCTTACGTCCCCTCTTTGACCCTGTCGCCGACCCTAGCGGCCCCGACGCCGCCCCTGGAGGCCCCGTCGCCACCCCCTCTGCTCAATATCGAGTAAGTTGTGTGTCCTTGCTTTCGCGCTGCATTTGTCAGGTCAAAGGTTGCTGACCTTTGACTTTCGCGTAAAATCCAACAGTTGTTTCAACCTCCGACGGTTGACTCACTAATGCTTCGATATGCTCTGCTTTGCTTCTGACTTGGTGTTTCGACACGACAGATGCGTACTTTGATTATTTGTTCCCAACATATTCGACATGCGAACCTGTTGACATGAGTTCTACCTGACATCTAGTGCAATAAGCCCGGCGACATGACCGTCTATCTGCACCTACGTGGTAGCACCAACATCGCTGACGCGCTCCGGACCTCCGCCTCGACACATCCCAACCTCGGCGCTAGGCCCGTCGCGCACACTATTTCCCACACATTACCATTACCATTGTAATTTTTCTATATATTATTCGCTC